GAGTGTTTCAAAACACAAAAAATAAAGCAGCAATAAATAGGGATTTAAATCAGAAGTGATTAAAAGTACGGTTTGGTTAAAACTCTTATACAGAGGGGAGGTTTAATTGGAATACTAACAATGGGATTTATTTTTTCCTGTTAACACAATCTACTGTTTGACAGGCATGTAATCATAATACATATTATAGCTCGAATAGTATCGGGTTCGGCTGTTGTTTAAATTCAGGTAACCTGATCGCACTGGATGTGAAAAAAATGCTCTAATAAACCAAGTTCTAGAACCTAAAGATCTTGCTGCAACTTTGTCCTATTTGCAATGAGATTTCCACAAACAGAAGATTATTTTGGGCCTTCATACAACATCCTCTAACCTTTGTCACTATCAGTGTGGGCTGTCATGAAATGTCAAACTACAAGCAACGGAAATGAAAGTCTCCCATTTAATAATCAGCCTAATTTCCTCTTTTAGGTTTATTTTGATGGCCCATAATAGCATAGCTGCACCCAACATACCCCCACTGAAGCATCTTAACTCCTTAAGCCCAGAGTGTCTTAGGAGCAAATTCTGCCTCAATATATATGAATTAAAGCAAGTAGAGCTCTCAAACTATCAATCGGAAATACAGTTGTTTTTATTTGTGTGACAGAAAGGCATTGAGAAATATTTTTCAGGTGGGACCACTATTTCAAATATCACCATGTCTGATTTACAGGTGATTAAACAAAGAACAAATGGAAAAAATGTAGCCTCGGCAACATTTTCTTCCAAAATAAACACTGCAAAACACCATGAAAGCCCATCTAAAACTCTGGATAAACCCTCAGACTTTATAGATCCACATCTTGACTATAACTCAAGCTAAATTTGACTGAATAAGTTGAAGCATGTTTGTTCCACAACGGTTTTAGTGGGATAGAGTGTTAGGTGAAAAATGTGATTTGGGCACAATGCCAAAACTGCAGAAATGCATTTTTCTACTCATAAAAAGGGAATATGGCCAGAGGAATGTGCTGAGTTACATTATTGGAGACCTTCTGCATAAGATAAAGCCTTTGTTTGATTGAAATTTACCAATAATATCAGCACACTGAAAAGAAAATAAGAATAACAGAGCAAGCTTATGTAACAGTTTCTTCACCTGAAATGGTCACACAATCACCTCAAACCCCTCCTTGGAAAGGTCTGAGCCTCCAGTTTCCATTAGGGGGTGTGGCTAAAAATGAAAATCTGTTGTTGCATTACTCCCGCAGAGTCACACATGTCAGGTGGAATTTTAACCTCTCACACCCTCAGGGGGTATAAATACATTTCTGCCTGACAAAAACACAAAAGTAAATCACTTATAGCCTCACAGCTATTAGATTTAAGAAGAAACTTTTGGTACGTTTGTAAAGGTAAGATGTCATAGAATGGTTTTCTGGTGTCAGCACCATTGTAGCTTTGACCCTGCCTGAAATATTAGGGACAAAATACAAAATATTTTGCATTTTTTGAACCTCGCCAAAATTTTCTTTGAAATAAACATTGCAAAACACTACCAAAATATTATTTATAGCACAAAAAAGTAGTACAGACTTTTAAATCTAAATGTTGTGTAAAAATATACCAAATTTGGACTCAATCAGATGAATCATATTTATTTTAGAATGGTATTAGTGAGAAATTTCTTAGGCGGAGAGGCCATTTTGGCACATTTATCCATAAATGTCACCAAACTTTGCCAAATGTGTTTTTTACATCAATACTGGGGGTTTGTTAAAATTACGAGGTCGTGAAAAAATTATTATGAAAGATTTTGAAGTGCCATTTGAAAGGCGTGTGCATGAAACACCATGTGACTGTGTTTTGGCCATTTCTAGAACTGGATCAGCATGAGCAGGTGTCAGATAGGCCCTGTATTGGACCCGCTGGACTAAAGGGGTTAAAGATGCAAGGAAGGAAACATGCGTTACAGCATGCCTATGAAGAAAATCCTGGAAAACTAAAAAAAAAGAGGTTTTTGGGGAGAGCTGAGGATAGAGCTGCCATTTCAGCCCTCTGGGTAAACCGAAGAGCTTTGTGTGAAGAAAGCGGAGATCTGATTTACCATCACCTCCTGTGTTCCTGCGTTGTATCCTCGCTCACCACAGTGTGCTGAGCGTCATTTAGCGTCGGCCATCCTAAACTTTGGAATCGGAAACTTTTTTATGAGGCCGATTCAGTTGGAAGTTGCTTCTTTTTTATTGATAAGCAATAAAATGCAAAGAATTTAAAATTACTCCATTGGATGTTACGTTTCGCATGTATTTGAATTAGATTTTACATGATGTCAAAAATTAAAAAGTTGAAAACACACAATTTTAGCATTGTACTTTGTCTCTTGAAGGTAGTGAATATATGAATGTTATAAACACCTCTGTCCCCTCCCTTCCCCCAGTCTGTCTCAGTACAGTGAGGAAAACATGATGGACCCCTACAACTTGGCCATCTGCTTCGGCCCCACCCTGATGTCTGTCCCCGAAGGCCATGACCAGGTCTCCTGCCAGGCTCACGTCAACGAACTCATTAAAACTATCATCATCCATCATGACACCATCTTCCCCGGCCTGCAGGACCTGCCAGGCCCGATATACACCTTCCCTGGAGCAGGGGAGGACTTCTGGTGAGGACAGAACGCTAACGGGTCGAACTGCCGGGATGTTTTTGTCCAAGTCTTTTCTAAACCACATTTTGGAGGAAAGGAGGGATTTATCTAAGGGCTGCCAGGGAGAGATTTGCTTGGCCTGTCTGAGCCACTCTGAGCCAGGAGACCATGGGAATCAGCTTACTGTCCATCACATGGGAGATTAAAGCCGCGTCTGAGCAGGTCAAGCAGCACACAGCGGTGCAAGCAGAGGCTAATTTTCAATCTCGGTCTACTAACAAGTCTTGGAGTGAGTTATAATGATCACTGACGCTCAGTGTAACTGGAAAGGTTTAAACGATGTAATCAAACTGTTGATGGCTGTGATTTATTGAGCTCCTAACTTAGAAGTCCAGCCTTTTATTACAGAATAAAATGACACTTGGGTTATTTTGTTTCATTTAGGCACAAACTGGAAAAATGATCTAGAAATAAGTAAAACATTTTCTTAAATTAACTGTATTTACCTTTAATTTGAGTAGGCAAATGAGGTAGTTTGCCATTGGGATGAGTATTTTTACTCTCAAAATAAGATAATTAGATAAAATGCACTTGAAACAAGACAATGAATTGTGTTCTCTTATTTTAAGTGTCAATTGTCTTGTTCCATTGGCAAATACTCTTTTTTTACCTCCTCAATCCAAGAACAAATGCACTTATTTTAAGAAAAAATTATTAATCTAGATTTCAATTTTTTCCAGTGTACTTTAACCCTGCTATAACTACAGTTACATATAGGCTATACTGGATTTACAATGATTTTATGCCAGTAGATTTATCAGAACAGGTACACTAAAAACTTTTATTCCTTCCTCCAATACAACTTTTATGTACGGTATTACCGTCTCTGTTTTTACTGCGCAATAAAGTTTAAAGGGCAAAATCACAAAATCCCAAGCCAAAACTAATCAGCACTAAAGGGTTGCTAACTTATAAATTATTTTATGACCTCACCATTGTTTAATAAAACAGACTTTAAAACCCAAATGGTTCCTGAAAAAAACGTTCATGCCCAATTTTTTTTCGATAGAGCCGTGGACTTCAGTTCGTCGTATTTATTTTTATTTGCAAGAACAAACCTACACAAAGTTGCACTGTGACACACCAAAAAATATGTTTTTTTAGTTATCTCAACCCTAATATCTTTAAATGATATTCAGTCCAGCAGATGTCAACATGGTCCCTTTGTGTTTATTTAGAATTCAGTTTAATCTGTAAAGTTCCCCTGGGGTTATTCAGTTTATTCAGTTCAGGGCTGAAACAATTAATCCGATTAATAGTGATTAATCGATTATTGATATAATCGTCAACTAATTTAGTAATCGATTAATCGTTAAATGGAGTGTAGGGACTGTAAAATATGCTTGTAGCTGACAGAGCAAACCACTTAGCACAGTAGTTATATCAATATGGTAAAAAAAAAAAACTATTGAAACATTTTGCATTTAAGATGAAAAAATGTTTTCGTCCATCAATATCAGGCCCCGTCCACACGAAGTCAAAACGAACACGAAACGCTAATATTTTCCAGAACGTTTGTCGTAAAGACGGAGACGTAAAATAAATGTGAGCGTCCACACGAATGCATGAAAACGCTGCAAAATGTATGCCAGGCCTGGTAAGGTTCACGTGTTGCCAAAGCAAAAATAGGCGACGAAATGATGGGCATGCGCACTAATA